AGAGTCTCATCTGTTTCTGCTTTTTGGGAGGAGTGACCTTAGCACACCATCCAAGTTCATGGAGCCTTTGAATATACTGGCACCTGGCACTCCTTGGAGTGTCTGTGGTCCCCAGGTTCAGATCATTGTCCTCCACACCCTCTTCCTACTAAGTCCCCTGAGACCAGCATCAGCTCTCTTCACACTTTAGGGGCACCAGAACCCTTGGAGGCCTTGCTAATTCAGTTTTTCTGAAGTGGGGCTGAGAATGTGCATTTCTGAAAGGTTCCCAGGAGTCCAGGTGGTGCGACAGCTATGTGCTCAGCTGCTAAATGAAGGCTGGTGGTTTGAACTCACCAGTCACCCTGCAGGAGAAAAGACCTGGTGGTCAACTACTGTAAAGATCTCTGCTGATAAGACCTCATGGGGCAGCCTTACCCTGTCCTGTGAGGTTGTGCTAAATCAGCAACGACTGGATGACAAAAACAACAAAACCCAAATGTCGCCAGGATATGGTAAAGCAGTTGGTCCCAGGCCCCTGTTTGCATAACTGACCTATGCTGCCCGAGATCTGGCTTCTGGGTTGTAGACTACTGCTGCTCATGAAATGAGCGCCTAGCTAAAGCCTCCAGCTTTTCAAGCAAAACGAGGCCTGTGGTCTTGTTTGGAATGCAAGAGCTCCTGATCTCTGCTTCTGGCCCTGCCGCATTTAAGAGCGGTGTGGGATCAACAGAACACAAGTCTCTGGGCTGGGGGTGGCCTGTGAGCCTGCCACTTCCACGTTGATGCTGCAGCTGGGAGGAAAGGCACTCTGGAGGGCTGGAGGAGGAAACGTGAAAGCCAGGCAAGGCCAGTAGCTGTGGGCGGATGAGACTGGGAAAGGGAGACAGGGGGCACGGCGTGGGTGGGTGACCTGGGGCAGGATGCTTAACCTCTCTGGGTCTCCATGCCTTAAATGGGCTCACAGGGCTGTTATGGGACTCCACTCTGAAAATACCAAAAGTAAGAGCTTAGAGCAGGGGCCGGCAGGCACTGCGCGCTCGATGGGCCTCCCACGGACTTATCCTGTGCTCAGTGTGTCTGAGGGTCAGGAAGAGGGGTACAAACCTCAGAAAGCTGTGCAGTGACCGAACAGCAGGGACACGTGCAGGCCCCCGCAGGACCTAACCAGGTGCTTCCAAACCCACTGCAGTTTGCTCCTCATCCCAAATTGTGTTTTCAACTCTTTATGAGCAGCCTCCCTCCCCTGGAAAGTAAGCTCCAAGGGGCAAAAAGGCCACCTATTACACACAATCGACTCCGAGCCTGAAACCCAGCCTGGAGCATGCTCGTGTTGCTGCTACCTGGTGTTGGGTCGAACACTGCCCGATGGTGAACCCACATGGAACACCGTGAAAGTCTGCCCAGCCCGCGTCGTCCACGGCCAGTAGACTAGATCACTGCAATGTTAGGTTTGCATTGCCTGATTTTCAGAAGTCGGTGGCCAGGTCTTTGTTCCTACTTTCTCTTAGTCTGGACGCTCTGCTGAAAATGTGTTTAGCAGTTCAGCAACACACAAGCCTCCACTGACGGATGGGCAGTGGCTTCACATGGGGGCACTGGCCAGGAATTGAACCCTAGTCTCCTTCAGGGAAGGCAAAGCTTCTACCACTGCCCGCAATCCTGGAACACAGAAAGTTCTTAATAAAATGACTTTGGAGGAGTGGAAGCAGATGAGCTCATTTCGCCCTCATGCAAACTCTGTGAAGTGGGTAAAGTATATCACATGCTCAACCTGATGATGTAAGAATGGAGGAAACAAGGGAGAAGGGGCAAGCGATGTGTGGGCAACACTTGGTCAGGACGGGCTGGTGCTGGCTCCTGAACCCATGGCTCAGGCCTCCAGATACTAAGACCTCTACCACAGAGGGGAAGAGGCATACCCCCTTCAGAGCCAGACGCCAGGGGCTCAAAGCCCCTTTCCAGAAGCTGCATGCCTGGGGCCTCTGCCATCCAGTTTCTGGGCAGGAAGGCCCAAGGGGCCCAGGCAGTGTTTCCGTACCTTATTGATGCTGAACTGCCCCTCAAAGCGGCAACCTGCCCCATTGTTCAGTGGGATCTTCATGGAGTTGTCGATGTGGCCCACCTCGTGCCTGCCCATCTCATCTTGAATGTCAAGGCCGACCACTGTGGAGCCCAAAACAGGAAAGTCAGACACACATGGAGAAGGCACAGGGGAGCTGGCCCCATGCCATGCATTTGTGAGGGGAAGGCCATGGGGTACTGAATGGGGTGTTTCCAGTCCCCACCCTCTGGGAGCTCACAGACTGTGACCCAAAGCCAGAGAGGAACTCATACGGCAGAGGAGAAGGGGGGGCTTCATGAAGAGGGATCAGCCCTGGGACTCTCCCGTTTCTGCCTGCAGTTGGAAAGGAAGGGGTGGGAAAGGAGTTGGGGGGAAACCAGCAGCTGATTGGGGCCAGGAATGAGGGTGCCAGGGAGCAGGGTGGCACTCTGTGAACCTGGAGGAGAGAGGGGAAGAGCACACACTAGGACATCACACTGGTGCTTTGTTTGAATAGCAGCTCTGCCTTCAACCGGCTCTGTGGCTTTGGCTGAATCACTTAAGCTCCCCATGCCTCAGCTTCTTTCTCCGTAACAGGGGCGTGATCCTCACGGACACTTCCCCGGCGCATGGAGATGAAAAACGTGCATACTGAATGCTGGCAGTGATTGCTGTCTCGCAGAGGGGCTCACTCATGCATCGTCATTCATCCCCGCCTTCCCTGACCCTGCGCCTGTTCCTGCAGGTCCTGTGCTCCCACAGGCCTTGCCCGTGGGAGCCTGAGCTTCCCTCGGTTCTTCGGGACATGAAATGGGAGATCTGGGGCCTGGAGTCCTGATCCCAACTGCCACGTGTCTCTCAACCTCTCATTGTGACTCGGTTTTCTGATCTGTAACCCAAGGCCAACGCCCTCCCCGAGACGTTGCAAGGAAGGTCCTCATAAACTCAGAGGTGTAGCTGTGTCCTTGGTGGGCCCATTAGAAGGCAGCTGGAAGCAATGTGAACGTGAGGCCACCTCAAAAGGGGCCGGATGGTCCCCCTGGGGATGTGATGGGTGACACTGAAGCTTAAGTTTAAAAAAAATGCTAGCAGGTCCCCCCTTGACTCAGCAGTCCCACCTCCACGCACAGACTCATGTCCAGGCATGTGCCCGGGGCTGCTCTGGGCGGCCTGACAGCTGGAAGCTACCCAGGGCCTGTCAACAGTGGTGCCCGGCGGTACATAGCCCGCATGGAATGTGGTACAGCAGGCACAGAGAACAAGCTCATCTGTGAGCGGGGTGGGGCGGCCGCTGAGAGCAGGGTGCCTGATGCCTGAGAACTAGCGTGGGAGTTGCCTCGATCCGTTGTCTGGCTCCTGAGCAAGTTACTTAACTGCTCTGTGCCTCCGTTTCCGCATCTCTTACAGACTGGTTGTGGGGTCCGCTCTTCACGTATGAGTGTGTGGATGTGTCTGTTCTCTGTGGGAAGGATGACAGGTAGTCCCGTCCTACCTACGGGGAAAGTGAAGCCCAGGGGGGTTTAAGGAACTTGTGTAAGATCCCACGGCAGAAAAATGAGCAGCGCATGAACCTGAGTCTCGAGGAGGTCTTGCTCCAGGGCCCGCATTCAGCCATTCCACTAAAGTCTCTCTCATCCTGTCCCCACCTTGGGGGCAAAAAGAAATGTAACATTTGGCAAGTCAATGATTTGTACAGCTCTAACTCAGTGATCGTGGCGGCACTCCCGCTGGATGCATCCAGCACCACTAGCCTTTTGCAAACGAGTCCACGCCCCCAACCTGAGGCTCACTGCCTGCCTTCCCACTCCTGGGATCCCCAGGACATGTGGTCTCTGTACAGTGCCGGTTCCGGATTGCTTTATGTAAATGGAGCACACAACGTATGCTCCACTGTGACCGACTCATTCACTCCGCATCAGGTTGTCGAGGTTCACCCACGTCAGAGCATGTGTCGGTCAGTCCGCCATTGCTCCTCCGACTGAGTGGTGCTGCGCTTCATGTAGGTGACAAAGGAGCCCTCGTGGCACTACTGGGTAGCGTGGGGCTGCTGACTGCAAGGCTGGCGGATCAAACCTATCCACTGCTCTGCGAGAGAAAGATGAGGCTGTCTGCGCCCATAAAGAGCTACAGCCTCAGAAACCCTAACTGGGTCGCTGGGAATTGACTTGCTGGCAGTGGTTGTTTACTGTCTGCTTGTTTTATATATAGCTCGAAAGACCAAGCCAACTTGGCTCGTCTCTGCCTTTTGGCCATTTGTGACGACGCTGCAGCAATAGCCTTGTGTGACAGCTGTGCCCGCTGCTTACCGTAGAGACTCGTGGATAAGCCGAGTGTCTCAGCACATTTTTAGTTGCAGTAGTGCAGGTTTTTGTGGTAAAATTAGGTGCCTCGGCTGATATTCGGGTCAGCTTATACTTGAGTATATATGGTATTTCCCTCTAGATCAGCGGTTCTCAACCTGTGGCGCATGACCCCTCTGGGGGTTGAACGACCCTTTCACAGGGGTGGCCCGATTCATAACAGTAGCAACATGACAGTGATGAAGTAGCAATGAACATAATGTTATGGTTGGGGGTCACCACCACATGAGGAGCTGGATGGAAGGGTCGCGGCATTGGGAAGGTCGAGGACCACTGCTCTGGAGGCTGTCACTGTTGAGTCTCTGCATGCTCAATTCCGTGACACCGATGACAGCCCACCTCCTTTCTGGAATGATTCCTTCCTTATCCACGCGAGGCTCCCTGAGATCCCTGTCTGAGTTTTTGAGTTTTTGTCAATTTGATCCTATATCAATTGTCCTTGAAAGAGTATAATGCTCGAGGCGAGGCAGACCTCTTTTATTGGTTCAACTTTTTAAAAGAAAATCATTTTATTGGGGGCTTTTGCAGCTCTTATAACATTCCGTACATCAATTGTATCAAGCATAATTGTACATACGTTGCCATCATCATTTTCTAAACATTTACTTTCTATTTGAGTCCTTGGTATGAGCTCCTCTTTTTTCCCTCCCTCTTTCCCTCCCACCCTTGTGACCCCTTCGCAAATTATAAATGATTTTCCTTTTTTAATCATTTTATTGGGGACTCACACAGCTCTTATCACAAGTCATCCATCCATCCATTGTGTCAAGCACATTTGTCCATTTGTTGCCATCATCATTCTCAAACATTTACTTTCTACTTGAACCCTTGATATCAGCTCCTATTTCCAGCCCCACTTACCCTCGTGACCCCATGATAAATTATAATTATTTTCACGTCTTTTTTTTCCATATCTTTTATTGACCACTGTCTCCCTTCACCCACGTTTCTATTTTTCATCCCTCTGGGTGTGGGTTAGGGGGTTATGTGTTGATCATTGTGATCGGTTCCCTATTCCTCTCCTCCCCCCACCCCTTGCCCCCTTCCCCCAACCCACTTCCCCCATCCTAGTATTGCTACTCCAATTTCTGTTCCTGAGGTTTATCTGACCTGTATTCCGTGTGTCGGGCGCTTTGATCTGTACCAGTGTACATGTTCCGGCCTAGTCAGAACTGAAAGGCAGGACTAGGGTCATGGTAGTGGGGGGTGAGGAAGCCTCAAAGAACCAAAGGAATATTGTGTGTTTCATAGGTGCTATGCTGTGCCCTAATTGACTCATTCCATCCTGTGACCCTTCTGTGAGGGGATGTCCCATTGTCTACAGATGGGTTTTGGGTCTTTGCTCCGACCCCCCTCATTCTCAACAATATGTGTTTTTGTTGTTGTGTGTCTTCTGATGCCTGTTACCTGATCCTATCGACACCTCATGATCGCACAGACTGGTGTGCTTCTTCCATGTGGGCTTGTTGCTTCTCTGCTAGATGGTGGCTTGTTTAACTTCAAGCCTTCAAAAGACCCCAGATGTTATACCTTTTGATGGTCGGGCACCATCAGCTTTCTTCACCACATTTGCTTATGTCTTCAGCGATTGTGTTGGGAAGGTGAGCATTCCCGAATCCCAGGTTGTTAGAACCAAGTGTTCTTGTGTTGAGGGAGGGCTTGAGCAGAGGCCCAAAGCCCGTCCACTTTCTCCATATATTGCTGTTTCACTTTTAAGATGATATTAGGGATATTTTTGGGTTAAGATTTCAAGATTATTTCAGGGCAATTGTTTCAGAGGTTCATCTGCACTCCATGGCTTCGGAAAAGCCCGTGAGAATCTGAAGTTCTGCTCTGCTTCCCTTCTGCCCCCCCCCCCTAACCCCACTGTCCCCAATTTTGAGCTGCACTCTGCTATGGACTCTTTGTTCACTAATGATAGCTGGGTACCACCGTCCATGTATCTGGTTTCATGGCAAAGGAGGCAGTCAGTCACACATTTCACACCCTCCTCCTGTTTCTGACCACTCTCCTCCTGCTGCCCCAAGGAGGAGAGAGCAACTGTGCCCAAGAAGACTGCTTGCCAGCTTTCACGGCCCGAGGCCAGTCCGCTGGGACCTCCCATGAAACCGTACCTCTAAATCAGCAAACAAGGAGCTAAAAACCCTACAAGGTGTTTCCTCCCTCCCCTGCTGCTCCTGGTAAGCACTAACAACTTTGGTCTCTATACATTTGCCTTTTCTTGCCTTTTTATACACATTTGTCCTTTTGTGATTAGCTTCTACTACCCACATTGAAGCATGTATCAACACTTCATTTCTCCTACTGGCTGAGCCGTAGTCCATTGTATGTTTGAGATCTTGTTTATCCATTTATCTTCTCATTGACTTCTAGGTTGTTACTACCCATTGGCTATGATGAGTATCACTGCCGTGACCATTGGTAGACAAGTTTCTTATTCAGTCTCCGCTTTCAAGCCCATCCCATTAGGATTGGAATTGCCTGTTGGGAAGCACCAGCTGCTCCTGAGGATAAAGATGGACGTTCTACTCCACTGACGAGTGACAGTCTCGGAAACTCCCATGGGGGAGTTCTAGCCTGTCCTATGGGGTTGCCATATAGCAGCTCTGCAAAATGTGATGGGCTCCTCAAAACATTAAAAATAGAATTGCTATAAAAAAATCAAACTCACTGCCATTGAGTGAATTCCAACACACGGCGATGGTGAGACTTGGTCTCATATGCTCTGATCAGGAAGGACTAGTCTCCAGAGAAGGAGAGCATGCTTGGTAGGGGGGCTTAGTGTAAACGAGGAAGAGCCTTGAGTGGCCAAAAGAGAAGGCCCTAATACAGCAGAGCTTGTGAGGAAGGTGTGGGGCTGTGCAGTTTCATCCTCCTGTACACGCGGTCCCTCTGGTCAGAACAGGCGGGACAATACCTAACAACGCGTCTGCAAGTTGTTGAAGGTTTACTGATGTGTTGGTTATTAGATTCTTGTTATGATCCCCCAGTTGGTGGCTCGTCTTCTCCCTGCTTTGGTAAGGTCTTCTGTTGAACAAACTTTTCACTTTTCACGAAGCCCCATTCTTTCGGTTTTTGTGCTTTTGTTACTGTATTAGATTATCCATTGTTGAATGTCCCGTCTGACACTGTTGCTCTTGCTTATTCTTCTAAGAATTTTCTGGCTTGAGCTTGCACATTTAGGACCTTAGTTCATTTTGAATTTTTGTGTATGGCATGAGGCATGGATCTGGTCTAATTTTTTCTGCATTTGGAAATCCAATTTTCCCAGTACCATTAATTGAAGAGCCTCTTTCCCTATTGAATGAGCTTAACACCCTTGTCAAAAGTCAATTGATTATAGATGTGTGGGTTTATTTCTGGGCTCTCAATTTTATTCGTTGTCTATCTATTTATTGATTATTCTAACTGTGTAAACCTCAAACAAAATCAAAATCAAAACCAAACTCATTGCCACTGAATCAATTCTGACTCACAGCGACCCTGTTGGGAAGGATGGAACTGCCCCTGTGGGTTTCCAAGACTATAACTCTTTACAGGGGTAGAAAATCTCATCTTTCTCCTGCAGTGTGGCTAGTGATTTTGAACTGCTGACCTTGTGGTTAGCAGTCCAATGTGTAGCCCACGATGCCAGCAGGGCTTTCATAGCTGTATAGAACCAAACTCATTGCCATTAAGTCAATTCTGACTCCCAGCAACCTGATAGGACAGGCTAGAACTGCCTCTGTGGGTTATGAGATCTTACAGTACAAGGCAGAACTGGCCCTGTCAGTTTATGAGACTAACTTTTTACTAGATTCGAAAACTTCATCGTTCTCCCTCAGAGTGGCTGATGGTTTCGAATGGATGACCTTGCAGTTAGCAACCCAATGTGCAACCGTTACACTGCCAGAGCTCCTCTTTGTACGTATAAGTATGTGTTCAAACCAGGAAATGTGTCTTACTAGGTTCTCTTTCTATAATGTTTTAGCTACTTGTAGTCTTTTGCCTTTCTCTGTATAAAGTTGATATTTGGATTTTCTATTCCTGTAAAGAAAGCTGTTGGAATTTTGGTTGGGATTTCAATGAATCTATAGATTGCTTTGGGCAGTATTGATAGCGTAACAATATTAAATCTTCTAATCCATAAACATGGGACATCTTTCCATTGATTTAAAAACCTTTAAGCTCCTTCAGGAATTTCATATTTTTAATTGTACATTCCTGGTTAGATTATTCCTAGGTATTTTATTCTTTTAGATCAAGGGTGGGGAACGTAAAGCCCTCCAAATCCTGTCTCACCAAAAAGAAGTAGTCCCAGCCACCACTGTAAAGATGAGGTGACTAAATGATAGCCCAGTATGAGCGATGTGATAAATATCCGAATTGCCCTTGGCAGAAAAAAGGCTCCCCACCCACTTTAGATGCCATTGTAAGTGAAATTAGTTCCTCAATTTCCCTTTCAGAATTCTCATCGTTGGTATATAGAAATCCAGGTGATTTTCGTTTGCTGGCCTTGTCCCCTGCAACTTTGCCGAATTCCTTTACTAGTGCTCCAAGTTCTGTAAGTTTTCTCGTGGACTCTTTGCGGTTTTCTACATATGAGCATATCACTCTGAACGAGAGAGAAATTAACGTCCTCATTCCCAGTCGATGCCTTTTATCGCTATCTTACTGCTCTGGCTGGAACTTCTGAGACCACGCTGACCAGAACTGGTGACGATGCACTCAGACTTTCTCATTCAGAGTCACCTTGCCTGCTGACATTTCATATTTCCCCCAAATCATATGGAGGAATTTCCCTTCTATCCTAATCTTCTTGAGGGTTTTTAATCAACCATGGGTGTTGGATTTTATCAAATGCTCTTTTTTTTTGCAACCAGAGATGATCACATAGTTATTTTTTTGTTCTATTGATGTGGCATATAATGGTGATTGACTTCCTAATTCTGAACCGGCCCTGCACCTCTCACCTTATGTCACCCAAAGGATTCAGGAGAGAGCCCGCCCAAAGCCAAAGCTGAGCAGATGGCAACTGTAGCTGCTAATGGACTAATATTACTTTATACTGTAAGAATATTCCAAAATAGTCACTGAACAAAAACTAAACAAGTGAGAATCCAGGACAGATAAACCCCTCAGGACCAATATTGAGAGTAGCCATACCAGGAGGGGAAGGTGGGGGGAGAAAAGGGGAACTGATCACAAGGATCTACATATAGCCTCCTCCCCCCCAGGGGGATGGACAACAGAAAAGTGGGTGAAGGGAGATATCGATTAGTGTAAGACATGAGAAAATAATAATAATTTATAAATTATCAAGGGTTCATGAGGGAGGGAACGTGGGAGAGAGAGGTGAAAAAAATGAGAAGCTGGTACCAAGGGCTCAAGTAGAAAGAAAATGTGTTGCAAATGACAATGGCAACAAATGTACATGGATGCTTGACACAATGGATGGATGGATGGATTGTGATAAGAGTTGTATGAGCCCCCAATAAAATGATTTTAAAAACCCCAGCAAACTAAACAAGTAAGGTTCCTTGTAGTGGGTCCCCAATATGTAAAAATAAAACACTCTAAATACGACATGTTTACTTACACACACACACACACAGCCAGAAAGCGGTCCATAACTGCTAATGGCGTCTTCCTGAGGAGGATAGTGTTGTAGGGAATACTAAGGGAACCAGGGTGATGTTTACCTTTTCTTTGTATATTTCTGTATTTTAAAAAATAAAATGGATTCCTGTATCACTTGTGTAATAAAAATATTTATTTTTAAAAGCATACGATGTGCTTGTACGTGCAGTATGATCGCAGCCGTGTTTAAAAATGCACAGACGGAAGGCCAACAAGGGGGAGTTACGTCAAAGCCACCAACCAACACCAGTGCGGGGAGGCAGAATCCTGGGCAGTTTCCTCCTGCTCGGCTTCTCTGGATTTTCCACAGGCAAGATCATTAGCATGTATTTTATAATAAAATCTAAAGTTCTTTTAAGGCAGAGCCAAGGTGCTGTGGAGCAGCAGAACCAGGGGTCCAGGTGGAAAACAGGGTGGGGTGGGGTGGGGTGGGGTGACACAGCCAGTAGCCTGAGGCCGCGCCTGGCCCCTGCTAGGCCGTTGCCCAGAGTTGGGCCAGAGCCTGGAACCACATCCCTCCCCCTGCCCTGTGCCCCACTGTTCCCAGTCCTCTGTCCTGACTAGGAATTTCCTGCTTCCAGAGACACAACCAACTCCTGAATGAGAAGCTGCCAGATGAAGTATTTTTCTAAGGGCAAAAGAAAATATAAACATAAAACCAAGCTATTTCAACAGGTTCCCTGGCGCAGCGCCCACAGTAGATTCAATCCCATGACGTACTTCCCCCAGAACTCCAGAGCAAGGACAGAGCCTTGTCTTAGCTGGAGACTCACCCAGTGTTCTGCCCTTCTGTACTGAGGGACGGAGGGGGGGGTGGGTGCGCACGGGGATGGAAGCAAGGAAGTCCTGCAGCTGGTGGCAGCCAGGCTGGGGCAGAGAGAGACAGAGCCCTAGTCCTCCTCTCACTAGGCCCATCCAACCACTCCGGCCAGAGGCCACTCTACAGATGAGGAAACCGAGGCCTGAAGAGTCATTTTAGCCAAAGTCCTAGCGTTAGCCAGCAAAGCAGCTGGAATGGGATTCCACATCAAATTTCAAATGAATTGCTTTTATGCGAATAACTCGTCCCCTGGTCAAAACAAACAAACAAATAAATAAACAGAGTGGGACATCAGAAGGAGGTTTCCTTCTCTCCCTGTAACAGATGCTGCCCTTGGTCAGGCAGCTTCAGCAGGTACAGGTTGGCTGTTAGCAACGCCAGCCCTATCCCTTCTCAGGTGACTGCTCTTAGCTGATTGGACATCTCCTGGCCTGAACATGCTTGGGAGGGCTTATGATGCCCACCACCGTGTCCACCTCCCACGCACACACCTGCAGCCATTAGTCAACAATAGGGGGCAGTGACAGTCTGGCCCCTTGCTCCTGGTGCTGTTTACAGCCAGAGCTCCAGTGGGGTCAGCCTGAGATGAGACTCCAGCTGACCACACACCTTTGCTTATTTCCTATCCTGCCTTGCTCCCAGCTCAGACTCTTCCTTAGGGACTGTGACTGAAGGTGCCCTGCTGTGACTGCTAACTATCCAGAGGGCACAAAGGGCATGCACGCTGACCCCATTTTCTCCTCTACAGCAGGAGGAGAGCACCGTAAGCTGTCTGCAGCCTGCCTGTTCAAGTAGCGTCCCCAGCTGCTGCTTCCAGTCTGCACACAGGTCTGCCTGCAGGAGGCGTCTTGCTGGAGAGGGGGCTGTTGGGGATACTCACATTCGCAGTGCAAGTTAGGTAAGCTGATGTTCAGGGTGACGTCAATTTTGCCCCCGCTGTTCTTGTCCGGATCATCCACGTAGAGCTCGTTCACGCTGAGGGAGGAATAAACAGAGGCCTTTACTGAGATGGGGCCTAGGGCTGCTGCAGAAGTCGGGCAAGGCACCTTCCCTGGGTGGCTATCATGTGGGCAAAGGCAGCACCAGCTCAGGCACAGGGAGGGGCAGGTCCCTTCTCAGGTGTTGTGCCTGTCAGGTAGTCACGTTCAAATCCTGGCCATGGCACCTACAATGTGAATTTGAGCATGAACTTGGGCACCTACTATGTGAACTTCACCTTGGTGACTCCTATCTGTTCACTGTGGACAATACTACCCACTGTTGGAGGGGTGACTCAAACAATTAAATGTGAAGCGTGGGTCTTACTGGGATTGGGGACAATAGGCACATGAGCATGACTCCCTCCTCTTTTGAGATCCCTTTGCATGCAACTGGGAAGCCGAGACTTCTCCAACCCTAACAGAAGCCCAGACATGACTCTGTGTTGTCGTTTTAGTTTCCTGTTGACTATCACCGACACAGAAGTGGCAAAATAATTCACTGTTTTTACTGTTCCAGAGGCCAGGGGTCTTTACAACAGGGCTGCACAGCTCCCTCTGGACAAATCCACTCCTCGGCCTTTGTCATCTTCTCGAGGCACCGGTACCCTTTGGCTCATGGTCCCCTCCTACTTTTAAAGCCAGCAGTGTGACATCTACACTCCCACTGCAGCCTCGTCTGAGGACCATTGAGATTCCATTGGGCCCATTTGGCCCACCTTGAGTCATCTCTCCAGCTCATGGTCCTAACTGAACCACACCTGTAAAGTTCCCTTTGCCATGGTCCATAATAGCAACTCTCAACATGGGAGTTGCAACCCCCTTTTGGGGTCAAACGACCTTTCACAGGGGTCGCCTGATTCATCACAGTAGCAGAATGACAGTTATGAAGTAGAAACGAAAATAATGTTATGGTTGGGGGGGGTCACCACATCATGAGGAACTATATGAAAGGGTCGCGGCATTAGGAAGGTTGAGAACCACTGGTTTGTAACATATTTATAGGTTCTGGGGCCAAGGCTGGGGGCCAAGGATAGGTGACTGCAGACAACTATGTCACCTTGTTGCCAGGGCAGAAGATGGAACAGAACAATGCTGCGATCTGCTAGCACACAGTTCTTCAACAAAGGGCCTGCCAGGTGGTCAGTTCAAACTCACCGGTAGCTGCAAGGGAGCAAGATGAGGCTGTGTGGTCCTGTACAGTCACACTCCTGTACACCCTACATATCGAAACAGATTCCGTGGCAGTGGGTTTGATTCGGGTTTAATCCCTGCCAGGCCCGAGAGAAGTAGTTTTGCCCTCATGGGGCGCACAGCCTCATTAGAGAGGGCACCGGTGGGCAGTGGCTACTGAGTTGCTTCTGGCCAAGGTGATCCCATTTCTGTCAGAGTAAAACTGCTCCCAAGAGTTTTCAGTGGTCCACTGTTCAGAAATATGCCACCAGACCTTTCTTCCAAGGCACTGCTGGGTAGACTCGGACCTCCAACATTTGGTTGGCAGCCGACATTACACCAGCAGGGAGCCTGAGCTCAGGGCCAGTGCCACAAGATGCCTGGCCGAGAGGCCTCCACTGGGGGCAACGGCCGGCCCGGGCTACTTTGAACCTTGGTGAGGCTGTCCACAGGCTGCGACAAAAAGGCGGCTTGCCATCCCTGAATAAGCACTCTGCAAGAAGGCTTTCTTTGTAAGCGGCCACATACTCAGAACAGAACACGTCATTCCAGGGCAAGGAATTTCAAATTGACAGAGAACCTGCCTTTGTGAGTACGGCACCTGGTGTGAGACAAGTGTGAGACAAAACTGGGCGGGCTCAGAGAGCCCAAGGGCTGTCTGACTGTGACATGCACAGAGCTCCGCCGAAGCGCCTCATCTTCAGGCCGCTGCCCCCAGGCGCTGACCTAAAGGAGTCCTCATCTGGGAGCGCTGTGATGCGCGTTGGAGTTATCCCATCTGCTCCACTGAAATGTCTTGATCCCCATTTTTACACGTGAAGCGGAGGCTCCAAGAGGCTGAGTCCCACCAAAGTCACACAGCAGAAAATGGTAGAACCCAGGGTCCAAGTCAGGCCTGAGCCCCACGTCTCCTTGGTCCCATATTGCCTCCTTTGCTCCTCAGCTCCACAGTCATGGGAGAAAAGGTGGTAGGCTCACCCTCAAGACCCCGGGGTGTGTGGTGTGTGTGTGTGTGTGTGTGTGTGTGTACCAAAACCAAACACGGACCATTGCTGTAGACTCATCTCTAACTCATGGGACCCCATGTGTCAGAGATGGGCGTCAATGGGTATGACCTTTTGGAAGACTGCCTGGCCTTTCTTCTGAGGTACTTCTGGATGGATTTGAACCACCAGCCTTTAGGTCCATAGCCAAATGTTTAACTATTTGTGCTACCTGGGGACTGGGAAGGCACGGGACATGAAGAGCAAATGAGCTATGGGAGAGACAGGCAGGTTATAGGAGCTGAAACTTGAGAAGGGATTGCTCTACTGCCAAGAGCTCCTCCTTAGCCGTCAGCACCTAATTTCTACTGCGGGCTGAATTTGTAAGTCCAGAGGGTGGTTGAGTAAGGAGGCTGCTGGGTGATTAAGGAAATCGTCACCGAGGGAGGGCAGGCTCCGGCTTCTGTGCTCAGCCCAGTGAGCCGGTTCCTTGAAGTCTCTCACCATTTCCACCGGGGCAGGTGGGGACCTTTGCGTATCACTGAGGGATTGTGGGATGATGTCACCCCTGCCAATCCTCTGGAGTGATCTCAGTGAAGAGCAAGGTGAATCCCAGGTGTGGTTCCTGCAGCTGAGCTCACCGTGCAGGCCCCAAGAGGCCTCTCCTAGCCCATCAATCCCTGTCTTCCAAACCAGAAAAGGTGGAGTGGCCGGACCCTCGGGGCTGCCAGCTGCCCAGCACACAGGGCCCTTGCTGTAGGGAGGAGAGGCTGTGCCGGCCAAGCTGGTTATGTAAGGGACGGGCTGGCTGCTTGCGGCTCCTTCCTGGAGGGTGTGGGGAAAACACGTTCAGCTCCAGTGCTGCCTGATGAGGTCAATCCAGCCCAAAGCTCCGGGCGGCTGGCTTCCTGCCACCTGGCCCTGCCTCATGCCCGCCCACAGCCCCCACGCACAGGTGCGGGCGAGCCAAGGCTGATTGGCTTTATGGCTGATTTTATAAAGCCAATGGCCAGTCGGTCAGACATCGGCCCACATGGAAGACAGTGTACACTAGTGTTTGGGGCCCTCTGGGCAAGGCGGGGGACCCATGGGACAGTGGCAGACAGAGGTGGCTGTCTGCCTGGTTCTGCTGATTAGGTGCTGGGGCACCTGGGATGGAAGGATTGCTTCGCCACTTTGAGCTCGTTTCTTTGACTGTAAAAGCTTTCTATGAAATTTCAAAGGGCAACATCAGTGTATGATACTGCATCAAGAGTGGCCGGGGATCCCGACTGGGACTGTGCACAAAGGACCCTTCTAGAAGGAAGGAAGTGACTCCCGTCCTAATGTGAATGGCGGTTGCGCTGGTGTGCACCCATGTTATGGTTGATCAGTCTTGCCCCTCACAGATGCGGGCGTGTGCCAACGACACAGCAGAGCCTGCAGAAGCTGGAAATCACCAGAGAGAACACCACGAATCTTTGCACCGATGGAGAGCGACAGAGAAGTGCTAAGACTTCACTCTGTCAAAGGCAGAGGACCTCTGAGACCCGGAAAACATGTCGTCCCTTCAAGTTCTGCCCCCACAGGCTTCACCCCCGTGTGAGGGGTGCCAAAAAGGCCGAGGGGAAATGAAAAGACCAGTGGAATTTTCCCGTGCGCCCTTTGAAGCCCTGTGTGTATAACCCACGGCCACGCAATCTATTCTGACCTGTAGGGTCTACCTCATTAGGGAAAAGAAAAGGACTGAGAGGGAGAGAGGATGGGAGGCAGAAGGGGCACCGAGGGCTGAGGACGTTAGCTTCTCCCCAGCTTTCTTTGGGGATTAGCCAGCAAGGTGGCCCGCTCAGGCAGGCAGGCAGGCAAAGGTGGGTCTGTATTTTTCCTTTGAAGGGTTAGAACAGGCCCTTCATGATCAAGGCATAGGTTCAAAATCAGGCTTTGCTGCCTACTAGGGTTTTTGCCTTTGTCAGCCTCAGTTTCCACAGAAGTAAAACGGGGATAATCAGTAACTATATCACAGGCTCGCCGAGAAGGTTGATGAGATCCGAGGCATTGGCATGGTGCTTGGAAAACAGGTGCTCAGTGAGCTCCCTCTATTTCTGTCATGCCATCAGTGTTGATGTTTACTGAGTGGAGAAAGACCGTAGGCACGAATGGTACCCACTTCACAGCACTGTGGGGAAGACCGACATGTCGGGCACTTAGCGCAGTCCTTAGTGTATTCTAGTTTGCTGCTTTCAGCCACTCTCACGATGCCCTGGAAATCATGGGGACCCTATACACAAACGCTCCCCATTACAGGTTGCAGACAGGACTTCTGAGATAATTATTTGGTTGATTTTTACAAGTAGATCACCAGGCCTGTCTTCCTAGTTCGTCTTAGTGTAGAAGCTTTGCTGAAATCTGTTCAGCATCGTGGAAACATATAAACCTCCCTTGACAGATGGGTGGTGCTTGCCCATGAGAGGTGTAGTGCCCAAGGATTGAGCCCATGTCTGCCGCATGGCAAAGTGAAAAGTCTACCACTGAGCTACTGCGGTATCCTAAGGCTTCCAGAAAAGCTGGCATTGCTGAAGGCTGATTAGAGGAGTTGGCCCAGAATGGCAGCACCTGGCCGCATGCTGGGATCATTTACAGGTACTACTTAGTTTCTCACGGTAAGTCAGTGCTCAATAGGGCTTACTGCTCTCTCTTCACACAGGACACAACCTTGCTCAGAGGATGAAACAAGACTGGCCAATCACGACCACAGGAAAGAGCAGGCTCTGAACCCAGATCCACCCGAGCCCAGAGAATACATTAAAAAAAAAAATCATTTTATTAGAGGCTCGTACAATTCTTATCACAATCCATACACACA